CCCGCCACATCCCTGCTTAACATCCACAGTATCACTAGCACCCAAGTCTCCTGAAGAAAGGGAGCATATAAATACTTTGCCAAGACATGCTTAAAGTTCTGCTATTACATGTGCCAGAGAGCCCTTTCATCTTCACTGAGCAAAAGCTCTGTTATATCTCCTCCAGCAGGCCTTCTACAGTTTCCCATGCAGACGTGCCTATGCAGTTAATGGTATCACTGAAAATAATCCATAGGAAGAAGGAAGCAGTAACCAATGGCTCAGTAACTTAACCAGTTAGAGAACACTGGCAGTAAAATGACTCCAAGCTGACCTGTGCCCAACTCAGTCTCAACCTGATGGACTGTCATGGTTTAAGCATAACCTTCTGGGTGACTCCCCCCAGTTTATATACTGGGCATGACGTGCTGTGGTATGGAATACCCCTTTGGCTAGTCTGGGTCAGGTGTCCTATCTCTGCTTCCTCCCAGATTCTCAGGTCCCTCCTCACTGGCAGAGCATGAGAGACTGAGAAGTCCTTGATCAGGGTAAGCATTACTTGGTAACAACTGAAACATCGGTGTGTTATCAGCATTGTTCTCAGACTGAAGCTGAAACACAGCACTGTACCAGCTACTAGGAAGGGGAAAAATAATTGTTACAGCTGAAGCCAGGACTGGACTTAAAAACTGTTTCTCTCACAAAAGAGAATGTCTTTGCCACTACCTTCCAAATTATTTTAGAATGGTAGAACCTGCCAATATCTGGTTTAAGGTGCACAGCTACCCAACCAAGAATGCAGGAATCCTGTAACCAGGGCAGAACAAAGGAAAAAGAAACTAACTCCTATAAAATCTGTTAAGGATATCCAGAAGACAAGGGGGAAACTGGATTCCAGCTGCAATTATTTTTTATCAGACAACAGTAAAATGAAAGACACTACTGATAACTAAGACCCACTCGTACTTAAGGCAAGAATTTGGCAAAACAGCATTTTGAGTTACCTTACAAAACATTTGGAATAAACAAACCTTTTAAAGAAATATCCATTAGCTTCAAACTGTTCTCTCAGCATGAACTTCCCTCTGTATTCAATAATAAGTGCATCAGGAGGCAAGTCTTTGGCAGCTTTTAAAATTTTCTTGTTTTTTTGCACGTAGCTCTATAAAGACATAAGTTAATTTATGAAGTATCATTTTCTACATTTTTCCCACCATGAACAGCAGATTATACTTTCACAACTAGTACACAAATCTATATGAAGTAAAACCCCCTCCTTTTTATAATTAAACCTCCAGACTGAACTGATCAAACTGTCCTGTTTGATGCAACCAGTTATAAATTTAGATTCAAAGAATGCTTTAGCTCATGTTCTCCAGTACATGGCTGAACACTATATCCCTTAGTGCACTTAACTGTCACCACTACTAGGATGAATTGCTGCCCTGTTTTGCATAACACTTTCAAAAGGCTTCAATTCCTTCAAAAGAAAACAAAACATGCAGACATGAAAGGACATTCATGATTCATTCAAGGAAAAAACAGAACAGGAAAAATAACAAAATAATTAGAAAAAAAGAATCCTGAGAGTTTCCAAATTTCTTTTCAGATCTTTAGATGGAAGGATGGCTTTTAATTAAAAACCAATACATACCCTGACAATTAGTGAACTCACACCTCTCATAACTGTCATCGCCAATCAAAAAGGAAGTAGCCTCTATGTAGGCAAAAGGCTCTGTAAGCAGGGATATTCCTCTAAGGAGGGTGTCCCATATGCCATGATGGTCTTTGAGGAAAAGAAGCAAAGATGCTTCCATTAATCTGCTACTGTAACTACTCCTTGAGATTTCTGCTACAAAATGCTAATGTCTGTTACATGGCTCTGATTTTAAGCTTGTAAGTAACTGATGTTAAAGACACAAAAGACACTGCACAAGTTCTTCATAAACTAGAACTTACGACATCACAAGAAAAAGAAATTGGTATCGGAGTATCACCTACCATCAGAAACATCTTTCATGAACTAGTATATGAAATTCTATTCTGAGAACCTGAACATCCAGAACACCTACTGCACTTTAAGAAAAATGTGGATAATTAACATGTTGATACACACAGCAGAAAAGGAGGGAAAAAAAAAAAAAATGTATTCCAACCTCAATGCTTCTATATACTCTAACCACTCCTGATACTCCTCACAGAGCAGACACAACACCGAAGTTTACTGCATTATGTCCACCACAAAAGACAGTCTAAGGACAATCCAATGTTCAGGCTCAGACAAACATATTTTTATGAGAACTGATATGCAAGTGTAAACATAACCAGGGGTGACACAGGATGTATGAAAATCAATTACAAATCCTGAAAAGCTGTTAAAACTCTGCTGCTTAGATCTGGTGAGACAGGATACAGAAAATGAAAAAATTATACCCCCCACTTTTTATTTCTAAGTCTAATGACTACCTGTCATGGTACAAACCAGCATGCAGTAACACAACATGGCACAGCTCATTACCTCTACAGGAGGTTTGAACATCAGATTGCTGGTGCTGACTTCTTTTTTGTCATTTCCATTGCCTAATCGCAGAGCTATTTTTTGTGCCTCTCTCTGGACACCCTCACTGTATTGGTTATTATTTGCTTCTTCATAACGATCCATCCATGCCTTAATTTTTGTTTCCCATCCAAAGTTCGAACTGTCAGTAGGATCAATCTCTGGAGCTGAGCCCTAAAAATTAAAGTGACGAGATATTACAAGGTAAGAAAAAGACATTAAGACACAAAGTGAAGGGCTAAAGTATGCCATTGATAATTCTGCATTACTTAAAAGCATTGAGTCGAATACAGTAGCATTACATTTGTCCTTTCAGGAATTTTATCATTCCATAAATGCCACACAAGTTCAGGAACACATCCCCCATTCAATGCAGATTCCAGGTTTTACTGAGATAAGAATGGAGAGTGACACTGTTTCCTCCCACAACTGCACTGCATCAAGAATCTCTGAGTGCAGCAGCTGGAGGGTCAAATCTCCCTGCCTACTCAACTTTTGTGAACTATGCAAATATAGAGAACTCCCACTTCCATCCTATAATAGATTTGATTTTCCCCTTTCAACCTCAAGGATCATACCGCATCATTTTTCTGCTTCACATCTTACTAAACTCTCCTGATCCCACACCTACTACATTAAGGATGTGACTCTAATGTTACAGGCTTTGCACAGATTATTTTTCTCCCCTTATGTGCTCCTCACTAAACAATTTTCTTCTGTGGTGCTTCAGATCCTTTTTCACTTTTTAAAAAAGCACCATTGTACCTTCAGACCTCACAAGCAGCAGGCAGGCTGCAGCCAACCAAAGTGCCCTTTTCTATCCACCTGACCAGAGACACTAGTAAGTATCAATAAAACAGCAAGTGGTTCAGCAATTCAATTTACCTGTTCACATTTACTTTGTGCATCAAGAGAACAAAACACACAAACAGCATTCAAGAAGGTGTGATGCTAAGAAAACCATGAAAATCCACAATGGAACCTTATAAACACCATATTCAGAAATCATAAAGCAGATTCTCTTCCCCAACGCTGTCTTCACTATTCAAGTCACATCTTATACATCTGAAGTGTAAATTGTGTTCCACGTATTTTTATATCTCCCAAGGCTGAATAAACTATAACAAAAACCTTGTTTTCACACCATGCATATTTTTATCTTGCAGAAAATTTGAAGACTGCTACAACACTTAAATCTTACAAAGCAGATATCCCAACACAAGCCCTTAAACTATGCCAGTACTAGTAAGTAGAGCCCCACCAGATGAATACATGGAGGTATGACAGCAGAACTGCTAGTTTGGCTTTCAAATGCAATATAGCTGTTTCATTCTTCTGCTGCTTAGAGCTATGAAAAGTTGGAGCTACTACATTCAAGCGAGGTGTGCAAGCAACTTTACTCCCTTGCACAGCCCTAATCCTTCCACTGTCTCTTGCAACCCAAAATTTACACTGCACTACTTAAGTTAACTTTGCAGAACAAAGATGTAGTGCTCATACCTTAATTTAAAATGATTATATGTAGAACATTAGTTATCAAGAGTATTTTAGCACTTAACGTACAGCCCCAATTGTGCTCTTGATACTTCGTATTATTTAAGTAATGTACAATTAAGACGTTTACCCTAAACAAAACCCAAACAAAAATTACATTACCTTTACTCGTGAAGATTTCCTGGATCCTTCTCGAAATGCCTGAAACAAAGTTAGATACTTATATTTTCTGAAGGAAACTCAAAACCTCTTAAGGATTTAAAAAAATCTATTCATGAATTAACAGCTTTTCAATGTGGGCTACTCAAAAGTGCAAAATTACGACGACAGAAAAATTTACGTTGAAATCTCAAGGCAGCAACAGGTTACATCTCACAAAGGCTATTTTAAAAACCAGTTCAACATTCCAAGCTAAGTGCATACTGGATGTCAGAGCTGTGGTCCAGGAACCCCTACCTTTCTCCCATATTACAACATGACTCTAGAATTTCAGAATTCATGGTAACTGGAAAGTTACTTATGGAACACCCCATATTTATCAAATAAACCTGTAAATTGCCCACATCCTTCACTACACTATTTGTGGGAAGAGGGGAGGGGGAAGCAGGTATCACACATGTCCTATTATGTTAACTTTTGAAAGAAGTCTGTCATTCCAGAACAAATCTCCTTTAAATCATCTCACACAATGCTGGGAGGTAACAGAAGAATATGTGGCGGTGAATTTGTAGTTCAGAACTGTTCCATTCAAAGGATACATTTTATTCAAGATTTCCACAGAAATATTGATAATTAATTCTGACTTCAAGTTTTAAAGGTCAAAATTCTCATCCAAACCAGTGAAAGTGAATTGCAGAAAGCAACTGTATTGTACTTCTTCACATATATTACATCTGTCTTCACATACTGTTTACACCTGTACCTAAATAGTACAATGTCAATATCCTGTTTACCGAAGTAGTTTAGTGGCTAACTTTCTGACAGCACACTTCCACACAGTTTCAACTCAAATAAATGGACATGAAAAGTCACTCTAGAGAAAGTGACAGCAAATGTTCCAGAACTGTAAACAGCCACAACTGAGGACTTTCAGACACAAAATTCTTCTTTGGGTACTCAAAGCTTGTTCTGCCTCACCTCCAACTATATCAAGTAGTTCACTAAATGCGATTCCTCCTTTGAATTCTGCCTCAGTTACAAAATTAACTTTCATGGCTCGTACATATTAACTTGAATTAAGGGCAGGGGAGGCAGGAAGATTTATCATTTACTGCAGAATATTACATTACAAGCTAAACCCACGTTGTTAATTATTATTAGTAAGAATAGCCTGATCTTTAAAACTCAGTCTCTCTTGGTAAAAGCTGTCACATAGATACGATTTGTAACATTTAAACTTATAAAAAGAGAAACCACATTCACTTACTTTTTTACATTTTGCTATGTTCTGTTCTTTCTCTCCACTTTTTTTCCTTTTCTTATCATTGACTTTTGTAACTCTTGTAGCAGTTAAAGTAATCGTAGTTGGTGTATGTTGAAAAGCAGTATACAGTTCCACAGGAACCTCATCGCCACTTTCTGTTGCACTGGTATCCCCATCTTTAAAACAAAAAACATTCTGTAAACAATCATACTGTGGAAAGAACATTCACTCCTTACTCTACACCTGCTTTCAAAAAACAAAACTGGATACTGACGAACGCTTGGAGCACTCACATGTAAAAATCACCAACAGTTGCAACAGCAAGAAAATGAATGACCAATGAGAAGGTGGTAATTAACAGATGTTTGTAATACCAGGTAAGAAAGGTACCACATTAATTCCATTCTCTGAATGAAGTTATAGTATCATATTCCATCATAAGCAAAATTAGACTCACAACAAAAATGGAAAGACATTTGTTTGTTAACTCATTCACTTCTATATAGCTTTTACTCGTAATATGGCTTTAGGATTCTCTCAGATGACTGTATTCTAGAGGGGATTAAAATTAATGACAGCCCAGCATTTCTTGTGAAGCCCCATTAATCACTCATGCGTTAAACTGTAATCAACAATTTCAGCTGCAATTTGCAGCATCAAGTGCCTTTTTCAGGATAAATATGCAGTTTTAGCCCAAAGCCTTCTCTACTCAAAATCCCCTCACAGTAACATCCTGCTACTCATCAGGGAAGAGAAAAGGGAAGTCTATTTTATTTCCTAAAACAAGAGCATAAACACACCGACATATTTTTATTTTGTGCTGTGTACCCACAGACCTAAGAGCCAAAGCCTTAAATTTAGCATACATCAGCATTTATGTCAGACAAATACATTTCCTGACCTGAAACAGGATTACCCTAGTTCTGTCAAGATGAAAGGCTGTGAAGTATGGGGAGGCTTTGAAGAGAGATTGTGCACACAGATAGGATACTGCTGTTCACATGCGCACAGTACAGACTTCTCACATTTTAGCAGCTTTCCCAAATATTCTGCCTTCAATAAATGTATTTCACACTAAGCAAGAATTTTTCTGAAACTGCACAGAAGGTCGCTTTACAAATACTTAAAAGTGAGAGCATATTCCTCCTGAGCTCAGAAGGATGTTGCCTTAATCAGTGCACTCAACAGTCCTAATTCCTGAAACCTTCTTTACTAAATAAAGAACTCCAGCTACTGGTTACTCTGGATTTTTCTTGCTCACAACATTCCTTACCAGGATTCTTCTGTGCATAATAAGCAATCCAATTTTACCATCTTGGTTGTTGTTTTGAGCAATTTATTAGGCATATAATTATACTTTATATATTAGGAACGGATGATGTTTTCTGAATGTTTACATCTCTGTTTGGATGAGCATCAAAACACACAGAGAGAAAGAAGCAATGGCTAATCAAAGAAGAATGAACAGCAGAATAACCAAAGATTGAAAAATGAAAACCCAAAGCTCTCTTGAAATTGTCTATGTTTATTAGTCTGTACACTAGTGCCTACAGAATCATTGTCACAGCCAAACATCTCTACCCCTGAAACCCCACAAAACACTGTCTTCTTTAGGGAAGCAACATTTCAATGTTGTCTACTACACTGTGCCCTAACTTACTGGGAAGAATAATTACCTCAACCGAACCTATAATTACACAGAGTTGTTTTGAGACACTCCTTCCCTTCCCAGCCTACATAACCTGCTTTCACTTTGAAGAGCCTTGGAAAAGCACACTAAGGGAAGATTTTGCATCTTGGAAGGCAAGATACAAAGTCTCTAAATTTCACAAGAAGTTATGGGCCCAGACTCATTTCACCATAAGCAGCGATTTCACCAGCACGAATTTCAAGACCAGACAGCTTGAAGCAACATCCTTGAACAAGCTACACATCTAGACACTGTATCTTAAAAAAAAAACCAACAAAAAAAAAAAAAAAAAAAACCAACCACCTAAAACAAACAACCCCAAACAAACAAAAAAACCCACAACAAAATAAAAGCAAAAAAACACCCAAAAAACAAACAATCCCACAACAACAAGAAGAAACCAAACCCAAACTGTCCAGGCTGCAGTTGAGTAGGGGCTTCACAAATGTGCTCACTCCACTGAACCTCAGTAAGCAATCCAATGCACAGTAAGCTGCATCAGAATTGCACTTTTATACCTAAATAAGACCAGCACCGCCACATACAACCACAGGTACCAGAACAGTATGTTATAAATTGTTGCCAGGAAAAAACGTGATGTGGTTAAGCATAAAAGTTTGAGACTCTTACCCAATTTCCCATCATGTGAAATGTTCACTTAAAGGCTCTTTTCTTGAAGCAAACCAATTGATCTACTACTTGCTCCCCACTGTTGAGCTTTCAATACAAGATGGCTAAACCAGCAACTCTTCAGACAATTTTATAGTAAGAACCACTATATTCTCATATCTGAATCATAAACCCTATTTTACGTAAGTCTAAAGAAAAAAAAAGCCCTATGTAAATACATACTTTCTCTAAGAGCATCCAAATAATGCAATCTTGCCTTCAATCAAACACCTGTAACTTACTACTAAGTTACAAGTAACATTCTTCTGTTGGATACTTAAAAAATTTAATAGATACATTCAAAATAATACTATTTTCACTTTTCCTACTTGAATCATCCATGAAAACGGGCCATTTTTACTTATGTCTCCTGGTAGATAGCTCATACCCAGAATTACTGTAATTCTGACTGAACTATGTAATATCAGTCAACATTAAAAAAGTGCATTTAGCCAAGCAAATGTATTGACTAAATTATAATTAACTAGAGATGCAAGCATACATTCAAGTTATGTATTATAAATCAGAGATATGATTTGAAAGTAATACATATAAAGTTCAGGAGGGTGACTTCAACCTAAATTATGACTTTCGTAATGGAGCTTCAAAGTATCACCTGTCAATCAAGAAACCCACAATATGTTGGTGATGGCTGGACAGACTCCTGACAAGCCAGCTGAATTTTGAAATTCTATAAATGCTAGAAGAGCTCATTTCATAAAATATAGACATCGAAATGTGTACATGCACTACACACCTCACCTTGTTATCAAAGCCCAAAAAACCCTCAAACCATCATCTAACTGTACTGCCCAAGTTCAGCAATTTTTCTCGTCATACTCAAAAACATACCAACACATACACACACAAATTTACAGCCAACCAATCAGAACTGGATCCCCTTCCAAAACTATGAATCTCAATTATGCAATTCTTAGAGACAGGAATATCACCTGCAATGGAACAGTTTTAAAAGAGTAGTATAGTCTATACTATGAAATATGAAAAAATGACAGAGCTGTGAAAAAGAAATTTTCCATTAAGAAAACCAGACTTCGTAACCCTCTCTTATCGCAGCAGAAACCTGAATGTTTTCCATCTTATCTTCAGTAGCTTACTCAAAGTAGTCTGGTTATTATAAAAGTCACATCTCATTACTGTGAAACTTTAACAGTGTTCAAACAGATCGAATTATTCCACAATGATAAGAAAAAAAGGTAGTGGCAACAACCTTTAATAAAACACATGAGCTGCTGATAGAATGTTATCTCAGTAATGATAAAGTCAAGTAAAAGACATTAATTCACCAACTTTATATGTAAAAGGCTATCAAAATTGAAGGAACAATGTATATACACTTTGAAGCCTACACAATTGATACATACTTATTTTATAACCTTTACTACAGAAAAACTTTTAAGCTTTACTCACCTGACATATTTTCCCTTTTCCTTCGTTGCAACAGCACTGCCCTTTCTTTATCTAAACTCCTGAAATTAAAAACAGATTTTATTCCATTCTTCACACTAACACATCAATACATCTAAGTATTAAAACAGACCTATTCATAGTTAGCATTTCCATTAACTACTGTAGAATAAACAGTAAACTAGCTGAATGTTTAGATACTTAGAAAAACCGAAGTTGTGCACTGTTCTATTCCACTTCATTGCAAAGCACGTAAAAGTATCCAAATCACTTGAGAACATAATGAAACTTGGTATCTCACAAGAAGGAATGGCAGTTGGCTCATGGATTACAGCTAAGCATTACACTATTTTCCTGCAGATTCTTCAAAATAATTGGCACAACACAACGTCCAAACTACTTCACAGAAATAAAAAAAATCATTTATTGGTAATTAAAATGTTCTGAACACACATCTTGCATTATTTAATAAATAATTTGCAACATAAGTTAACAGCATTTTATAGTCTACATCACAGGACAACTATGATGACAGTCAGGCATAAGCTACCTACTACCACACAAAATACCCTCCTTGTTATGTCATATGACATTTGAGGGGGGGCATAAAAATAACCATTCCAGAGCAAGAAGTCTTCCAAGTAAGCACTGTAGCACATTGGAATGAAGCCATAAAAACAAAAGACACTAAGAAATACGGATTTTCAACATGTGACAGCCATGAAATAAAATATGGAATGGGTTGTCTATGTACTGGTCAGCCTAAGACAAGATCCAGGAATTACTGCTGTTTCGATAAGCTTTGTAATGGTTTATCCCTGTTGTCTAGGGAGGTGAAACAATCGACTGCTGGGAACAAGGGAATGGAGACCGGTAAGATCATCTACATCAGAAATGTAGCCCCTTTAACTAGAGTTCTGATTATGCTATGTGGTCTGTGTTTTATTTGCTGGTTGCTCCAGTACCTCCTTTTTTCAGATTCTTTACTCAATCTAGTTACATAGAGTTCAAAATCAACCAAACAACTCACCTTGGTTGACAACGTTCACACAGATATATGTCGGGAATATGCTGCCTGTCAATCCCCATGCAGTCAATGTGCTGCCAAACACTTGGGGAAAAAAAAAAAAGAACAAAAATCACCCTTTTAAGTACAATTTTTAGAACTGTGTACAGAATACACACATGCAGACAAACAGACACAGAGTGCAAGCTGTTCTTTTCTTCATCATGATCTTTACTCGGATTGAATACTGCCTAAAACTACATCTCAATCACTGTCTTCGCCACCACTCTGCTAGCTGATTTTCTATTCCACTGATCACTGTAATTCCAATCTTGTGGCTGTCTCCCAGTGTCTCTCTGCTTCTTTAGACTCACTTTCCCTCTTGGAAATCTTTCTCTAACACTGGAAATAAGAAATAGTAAATTATCACAATAGAGAACAAGACAAACACCCTCAGCAACAAGACTTATGCTCTACGCTGTAACAGGAGTTTTGTTTTTAAGTAAAAGGATTCTATTTGCTTTTATAAATATATACTTAAAATAGTACCTTTATTTTTCTGTGTTATATATACACAAATATTTTTATTTACTTATATATTTTAATGGAAAATATGAATACATATTTTTATACACACATTCCACGTGACCACTGTAGCGCAGGAAGAGCTTTAACTGCTTCCCAGAGTCAGGGAAGAGAGGCTGCTTGCTACACTGCAGGCTAGCCTAGGACAGAGGTTCATGTTCATCCCAACATTGCTAGAAGGAACTGGGACACAAAAATCATTGTTATCTTGCCACTTGTGAATTTATCACAGCTCTCTCCAACTCCTCATGGAGAATCTCTTCTTCAAAAGAAGCAAATTCTACCTAACTGATGACTGCCTACAGCTCCACTGCTGAAAGAACATCTTAATACATTCCAGAATAAGCAAAAAGGCTATCAGAATCAAGGACCATCAAAAATTAGTAACAAGTTTGTTATGTAAGCAGACAAAAGAATGGAGCTCACATTAACGTTTTAATTAGATAACCATCATTTTAGAAATACACAATGATCTAATAAATTCAGAAGCATTCATTAAGCATAATGAATATAAAAATACAGGCTAATACTGAGTAAGTGCAGAAACAGGAGGTTTGTCTTCTCCCATTAAATGCATCAGCTGTAAAAATTTCTAATATCATTTTTTCGACTCCAAGTATTTAATAGCACCCACTTATTTACTATGATCAAGTAGGTGCTTAAGCACAAACATAGAAATCAAATGTTTAAACTTCAGCTTCTCCAGGAAGAATCCAGGTTAATCTTTTCACAGCTCTGAAAATTCTTAAAACTGTGTCCTTTCAAAATTAAGAATTCTTATCACAAAGATAATGCACAGAGAAGCCAGTATTTGAGAAGCTTCTTTCAGATTATTTTGCATTCTGCAAGTTACTTGATTCACATATACGTAATTTACCAAAACGCGCTACTGCTCAGTACATGCAGATTAGGAACTAATCCCTAGGTCTTCATTTCATATTAACAACTTGAACAAAGAGATATCTGCCTTTTTTTTTTTTTTGTGTGTGTGGGGGGAGGAATTACCTTTAATGAGCAACAATGCACAAGAAAAGGCACAAACAAATTAGTTGTTTGGGGTTTAAGTAATTTTTACCTTTTAAATTATTTTAATATCCATTACCTGCATTTGTCACAACAGATCATATATCCATCATCATGTGTAAAGCCACAAATGCATCTGGTAATATCAGTTCCATAGCTTCCATCCTCTGACGTACTGATGGTTGTAGCACTGGAGGTTTCATCGAAGTTGGGAGTGGTAAATATGCCTACTTCATTCTTGCTTATAAGCACTGACGGAGGAGGAGAAGCCGGAGGCGTTGGAGGCGGCCGAGCACCATAGTTATGGTCCTAGATTTTTGTGGAAAGATAAGTTATAGCTCTTAAAATATTCATACACCGAAGGTTATTTAAGCCAAAGTAAGAATTCACTTTGTAAAGGACTTCAGAGACTTCTTATTTTTCAGTTAGGTTTAAAATTTTGTTTCTGCCACTGCTCATTCTTGTTTTCTACCTTCTCAACTATGCTTTACATGTAAGTGCATCATGTTCTGTATTCTGTTCCTAATCAACCATCTTTAGTCAACCTACCCAACTCCCAGTAAGGTATAAAAATGTCAACATGAATCAGACTTTTTCCAGTTAAGAACAGCACATTTTACATAATCTGTTTTTTACAGAATACTTAGCATGAAACTTACTGCATAGGGCAAACCAATGTAACTGTGTGAATGCGAGCTGCTGGTATACAACTGGTGTGGATAACTGTTCGATTTTTCAACTACCACAGGGCTAGCTTCTACAGATTCTGGTCTGCAAGGCAAAAGACAGAAATGCAATTAATATGTCATTTATATTAATATATTAAAGGTACTTGTTTCACAACTTCTAATTAATTGCCTGCTGATCCTGTTTAAAGAAGCACACAAAGGGGGGATGGGGTGGAGGCACAGACTCGCACACCCCCAAAAGCCCCCTCACTCCAAAAAAAGAAGGGGTGGTAGGAGAGGGAGCACCAAACTCTCTTATTTCATTTAAAATTAGGCTTCCACAGCAGCAGAGAACTTATACCTCTTTAGAGCTACAAAATTTTTCTCTCAAAAAAGTGCATGCTGAATCACATGACACAGCCTGCAAATCTGGGACAAAAAAGCGTGTTACACACTTTGTCAGGGAGTCATCAGGATGTATGCCCACGCCTGGAGAGTTGTAACAGAAGCTGCAGAAAGGACTTCAGCTTAATTATGTCAAAAGATAGAAGCAGAAATGCAGAGCTGCAAACCGACACAGCCCTGCACACCACCAATCTTATTCAGTTCTGCAATGACACCTAGTGGCAGCATTACTGCACCCCCACAAGCATCCATACAGACCCGTAGTCAAGGCAGGAGGGTGCGGTTTCTACAAACACAAAGCACAAGTAGGGCAAACCTACGGAAAAAAGGCAGCTTCCCGATTTATCTTGAAATAGAAGGGGGAAAAAAAAAAGAAGTAAGAAATTGCGAGAGAAGGCTTGGTAGTGAAAAGCAGCACCTTCTTTAATAGGCAAACTATGGTTTATATGCACTAAACTGCAACATGAAAGACAAAAAGAGAAGGCATACTAAACCAGATCTTTCTGAGCACAAGATATTATACCTTCATTACCTTTCCTCAGAAGTTACATTCATATGCGCATACAAGCATTTATACAGACACTCTCATGACAGAGACGATTTCAGTCAGTAACATGTAGCTTTTTCACTGCACCATATGATTTAATCACACCAAGACAAGCTTCAAATGAATTTAGTTACCCAATATTCTGGGTTTGCTTGGGTTTTAGTTGGCCGGGGTTTGTTTGTTTTGGTTTTTTGTTTTTGGTTTGTTCTGGGAGGTTTTGCTTGGGCTGTTTTTTGGTTGAGTTTTTCCCCCCCCCCTTGAAAGGCAGGACAAAATATCAATATTGAAAACTGAAGTGGCTTTTGACTTGCATCACACATCAAGCCTTTTTCACTTTCTAATTTTAGTTTCATTATGCATGAAGTCTACTTCCCATCACAAACATCTTAATTCCTTGAAATGAGTTTTTACACTAAGTTGGTATTTCTGAATCTTAAGTTTAAAGAAAAAAAACAAAGTTTTTTTCTTAGACAGTAAGATATTAAATAGAGGCTTTTTTGTTATGCCATAAAGCGATACTAACTTAAAAAGACACCAGCAACTTACATTTGTGGGTAACATTTTTTTCTATAAATACAAAGAATCATTTGCTTTCTGGAAACAATATACAGTATTTTCATGTCTGCGGGCAAGTGCCCTACTACTAATGGGCCTGTTTCCCCATGTGAGTTTACTAAATGGTAAAATTAAAGTCATCACCCAGTAGTGTTTTAACTACTGTTTTAGTTTCTACAGTCCAAAGAAAAAAAAAAAAAAAAACCACATCTTTTTTCTAAAACTTTAATGTCTAAGAGTCCCCAGCTCCATTTTTTAAGGGAGAAAGCAAACATGTGAATGCACAAATCATGTTAAGTACTGACATTAGAAATACAACTTCTGACTAGCATGAGATTAAAACCCAACTCTGACAACACTTGCCCTTTGTTACCAACCCAGAAAAATCCTCATATACTCTCTTACACCACTCCTCAACTTGAAAATAATTTTATTCAGAGTTTGCTGGAATTATCTTCTAGAAGCAGCTCAGACTTTGCCAGGTTCAAACCCATGACTTAAAAAAAAAAAAAAAAAAACAACAAACAACAAAACAACCAACTAAACCGCCAGATGAAAGTTGGAAAAGCTGTGCCTTTCCAAGAGATTTGCCTTTACCTATTTACTGACATAATGCATTTTTGCAGCAGTCATATACCATTAATATCATCGTTAATCCTTCTGTTGATCTAGCCAACCAAAATCCCAGTGATCTAGTCACTCACTATCCACTCATCCATCACAGCTAGGGCAGAAATTATCTTTCTCCAGTTCAAGAAGGTCTTGAATACTTTATTTCTTCTACTGCTACTCTTCAACATTTATTCAATGGGATAAACAGGAGCACAGTTACTCTTACCCCTTATGTGTTCAATGCTCAACACAGGTCCTGTTTGCTTCAGTATATGCAAAATACTCAGCTTTCAGAGCAGGAAGTGGGGAATTTAGGTACTATCCATCCTTCAGCAACGCCACAATTAATGTAGGAGAGTTTCCTTCATTAAAATTAAGTATTACCATGACCTAAATACCAGCTATTTCAACACAGGAGCATTCAGTGAAAGATACCAGAATGGAAATGTCCTAAAAAGAGAGTTCTGACTGACTACAAACGTTAAAAAGGCATTCTAAATCTCTTGCAAAATAGGACGCAAGACTATACACCCTACTCCCTAAAACCATTTCTTCCCACTCTGGCAATTTATAAACCACTTAAGAGAACCAAGTTTAATGTTTAGAGGCATAACAGTTGTGGGAAGCAGAAGCATTAAGTTTCCAAAAACAAAATATGGAAAACAAATGCATTAATCCCCAACTATTTTAATACTCATGAACTAGATTCAGAGCACAGGGTTAAAAAGGAAAAGGCACAGCTTTACTTGAGCAAGGAAAGACAGTAAGAGGGTGGAAGAAAATCAGGTGAGACACAAAGGAAATAATATCTTTATACTAAAAGTTTTAACATAAATACAAAATTAGACCAAAAACGGCTTTCAGCAAAGGTTTTTCAAATGCTTATCATGGGGGGCCACTGATACTTCTTTGAATTATAATAGATGCTCACCAGAGCTTTGAATATAACTGTTACTGTCCCATTTATCCACTCAAATGCTAGACGGGGATGGAAAACAGTGTGGAGGAGACAGATACGGGGAAGAGGAGGTGGAACATTTACTGAAGCTAAAAATTAATCATTGTAGGTTTCTTTTACAGCCAGGAGAAAAGCACTATTCACCCCATAAGCAGCACAGAATGAGTATCATTTCTCCACAGAACTAGACAACCTTCTAACTTTGGCAAGCAGGTCTGCCAACACTTTAACATGCCCTTCACTGAATTCCTTCTTACGCCTCTTCTGCCCACCATGCACATGACCCTGACTTTAAACAGCAAACACACCCTCGATACTATTGTTTGTCCAAGGGTCAAGGCCTTCTTAAACAGGCATCTCAGAATTGCAGCACTTTGGGAAGGAGTACCTCTTGGTAACATACTTACTTGTACAGACGATCCAAGTATGAAACATGACTCAATTTAAGAAGAAATTTTAAATATTTTTTTTTAACTCAAGTAGCAGGGCTCAAGTAGCACGGTATTAACTACTGTATTACAGACACCCATCCTAATCTTACCTTTTTGGGATCCTTACGGGCATCCCAAAAAGCCAGTTTTCAGGAAGAAAAAGTGTAAGCGTTCAGATCTGAATGAACACTAGGAGGTTTTCCTTGCTTTTATTTTTGAACATGAACCAGTTCTGTAACAGACTGAGGTACTAAGCTTGGCAATCTTCTGAGCATACCACATTTTGCAACTCAAACTCAAACAGCTGCACCTTTAGCATCTAACTCGGGGAGATACTGATGGTATTTTTAGTTTTCATCAAAACTAATGTTTGCATTACAATATAGTATATTAGAAGTTTAAACGAAAATCCTAATATGATGCGCTAAAATTAACAGATATTACCATGACAAACTGACCATGGCATTTTGCTAAAATTCATATATATATTTTAAGTGTTGTGGTTATTTAAAGCTATGCGAAATATTCACAAGTAACTAAATAAAAAGCATCACAAGAAAAGCTTCCCCCATGCTCTTGGGCTGCCATGATTTGACATTCCTGTAACTTGAGAAGAGGAGCATAATATTGTCTCAGATGAATTTAAAAAAGCAAGCCTACCTGTATTTTAAACCCTCTCTCAAATAACTTTCATTCTGCAAGTGAAATAACTCATGTCCTGGGTCATTTCCTACTGTTCATATTCCCAAGTATGATGCAAACTGAAGATATTCTGCATGTTGCCAGCAGATGGCATTAGCGATAAATCAAATAAGCAACACGTGAGACCAGATAGTTCACAAAAACTCAGTTTCTACAAGTGCATAGTTAACCTATATTAAGGGAATCAATTATCAACCATTCTAAGCACTAGTCATTCTTCTTTAAAAAGTCCCGTCTCCCCCACCCATTCCTTTTAAATACTGTTTTGCTTCTGACCATGCAGTAATAAAAGCAGATTTTGATAACACCCAAAACACAATCAGTCCTTTAGAATTTGGGGCCATCAACCACTTCTATACAAATGCAGATACTCAAATGGGGAAGAAAAATCGCAATAAAGCTAAAATCTTCTAAGGCAGATGTGTATCCCAGCTTTCAGCTAACAGTACTTCCTGAAAACATGTCAAAATTCCAGATGAAACCTCTTGCTTCCAGTAGGATCAATCTGCCACATGACAGTTTCATAGTCGAGGTTTGTATTTCCTTTGCACCAGCACAAGTGAGCAGTATTTGGCTAAAGATCAGATAAAAGGAAGGTAATGTATTTCTTATGAAAAACAGCGTTTCCTATTTCTGATGGGCTTCGCTGCCTAGACAACAAAGACTGAGCACTCTGCTAGAGTGGGTTCTGCTACCTAAGCATCTTGTAGCAGGCCATACAAGTATAGGCTGGCCTGATACCATCTGTAGGAAGTGGCAAGCTTCCCACTGTCCTAAAATATATATTATAATAAATAAATCCTAGTTTCAGCGACAGTCAAGGGATGATAGGTTTTCATTTATTGAAGACTGCAGCAGTACAGCAGTACCATAAATGGCATTTCACTATATGTAGCCTATTCTCATGCTCTAAGCTAGACTAATGCTTTTTTAAGTCAGGAAGTGCATTTTGAACCTTCCGAAATGGCTGGCTCTGCTTACTATTACAGTGCCTTTAATGGTAAGAAGTCACACATATTCATCTTTAGTAAGCCTGTCACAAATAAAGGCAAACTATGTACATGTTCTGACTACTACGGCACTACAAAGACAAATGCACCACTGGAGAGCTCATGTAGGTACAAGTAATGTAAGAGACAGAACATTTCACCAATTCAGTGATCTTAAGGTCCTTTTCAACCCTAACTATTCTATGATTCTTAAGGTGCTCAAGCCTTTGAATGAGAGTTAATTCTCCACATAGCTATTTGCTATGATTATTAAGTATGTGAAACTACATAATCACGTAAACTATCCACCTTTTTAATAGGCTTATCCCTTAGATTGAAGCATAAGGAAAAATCTCTAGGCACTAAGAGGCTGCACGGAACTAAGTATTTTCCTAGGCTCTTCCTCCTACTTAATCAGGTTTGCCACTCCCCCATTCCTGTGTTTGCTCATGCTTCAGCAACTGATGAAGCAATGTCAGACCTGTCAGTCTCAGTGAAGAAATTCCAACTCCTCCCTCTTCAGAAAACCCCAGAACTTGCTCCAAGACATGATCACTATCAATACAATGTGTATGCAACTTGCTACTCTCTAGAAGAAAATGTACAAAACACATGTAAATCACATCAATCGTGACAGAAAAGGTTTACAACGATGTAAACTGGTAGGTTAGGGAGATACCTTTGTGTCACACTTCAGTGACATGGCTTTTAAATGGGTGTAAGCCAATTCACACAGCTACAAACAATTACATGCTTTTCAGCATAAGTATGGCAGAGATAACAAGAATTAACCTCTAACAAGAATTAATCTCACTGGTAACAGTCACTTAACATCTGAAAAAGAAGTAGTTCCTAACAGGGTTGCCATGCCACAGTATCAAGCAAATATCACACCATGAACTCTATCTGTTTATACTAGCAACTATATTTATTTTAACTTCAGCATAGCATGCTGTGTCTGTAAGGAATGTCAGCAACCTCGGGAATCATGACCTTCTCCAAACATAAAAGAAAACCACAGAAAAAGATAATGAAGAGAGCTGTGAATGGGTCACTCAAGTTATAAAACTTTCTGCATCAAAGAAACTGGTGTTTGTGATACAAGAGATCAACAATAGCTTTAGAAGTTTAATGTGACAAAAAGCTTAAAACTACGTATTTTTTGCTTTCTTCAGATAAATGGTTAAGTCAGAACAGTCTCACATATAACCGAAAGCACAGGAGAGAAACATCCTTTTAAAAAGCTGTTCAAGAGTTCTGCTTGCAGTGCATAATATTTCTTTCCGTTTGGAAGGAAAGCCATTAGCTTCTTAGACTAGTATTACTTAGCACGTTCTCTCAAGCAGAGTGTAAGGTATTTAAATTTTAGTTATTTAAAAATGAAGGAACATTTTAGGAAGCTTATTTCTGATTTATGAAAGATTTCAAGTATGTATGTAAGGTTAAGTCTAATCCATTGTTTCAGCATCTGAAACAAGCAAATGCATTTTTGTGGTAACCCAAGATAAGGAGAATCTTTAACATTACTAAAGAAAGAAAGGCCCAGGGGAAGACAAAGAGTACCAGCATCTCGAGTGGTTAAAAACCAAAACAGTAAGAAAAAACAAACTCAAACATACCAAACCCCGATTTAATATAAATGATTAATTTAGTTGGTTTTGTTAGATGTAAGAAACAAAGAGGTGTGTTTTTTCTGTATGCATATGCAAAGAGTTACATAAGATTAACCACTGATTACACAAATTATCTTTAAACTATAGTATCTTTTGACACCCATCTCTTCCAAAAACACTCACCTGTCACATATTCTACTAATACAAACGCAAAAGGGAAAAAAAATAAATCCAGTTACTACTCTGAGATGTATGATGTACAGGGCTCAACGGAATAAGGTATCTATGTACAGTGGTGAAAGTATAACACCACCTCGCTATTTTACCTCTCTAAGAGTTAAGGTGTCCAAAATGCTATTTCTCTTCTAACATTCAACAGATTAAGTCAGTAACACACACAGGAAAAGAGGTTTGTTTGACAGGAAAAATCTCCAGTCAGAGATCAACAATACCTGAGCTCTAGCATATCCATATTATAGAGATTCAGACAACACTAGAGAAAAAACAAAGAAAAACAATACACAAAACCCCACCCCCCCAAAAAAGCAATCTCTAACAACCCCCTCCCAAAACAAACAAAACCCCACACCCCCTCCTCAAAACTCCCAAATAATACCCCCAACCCCAGAAATTTACTATGCTTATTTCACATAAAGGAAGTTTCTTGAATTCATGATTTCATTAGCTCTTTGTAATCCTTTATAACCAGTAACTAACTGAAATGACTAACGAGTAAACTTCTACTAGCTTTTCAACATAAGAATTTTGGGAAGACATAGTATTAGACAATTCAGCTAAGCAAAACATTTTAAGCAAGTGAGGTAGCATCTCTATCTCTTGGTCTGATAAGCAAGGAAAATATGCATCTGTAGAACACTTCAGATTCTCTTCTTTGCTCCCCCTGAAGAGGAAGAAACTGACTTTAATAACTGCCACTTTATTTTTAAGTAATGAAAGATTCAACAAAACTAAAGAGACTCTTAAGGCCTCTCTTCCAACTGTACGCAAAAAATACTCACAGCAGGGGAGGGAAAAAACCATTAAGAAAACTTACAACTCATGTTCACATACTTACTCTGAGCCTGCAGCCATTTCCAAATAAGAAGTATCTGCTGTGTCAACCCCCAATGGGATCACTATGCTCATGACGTTCGTTTCTGATAAATTCGATTACTACGGAGTCCTATGCATTGGTATCCAAAACACTGGGGCATGCCAGCCACAGTGCTCATTGCAAACATCTAAGTGCATCCACAAACCCTGTTAAAATAAAAGCAACAAAAGAAAGCAAAAGATTGAGCCAGCTCCTTTTAAAACCAGGAAATTTTACATCACATGTATTTTAACAAAATTATCACTTTTATCTGTTACAATGATCTCACCAGTTTCATTGTACACAAGCAAAAGGAAAAGAAAACATTGTCTATTCTTCAAAAGTTAATTTCAAATACACCTATTTTAAGAGTGTGAAGGTCTTAAGGACTGAACTTAATATTACAAACTGACAAAAATAATCATTTAAATTGGTGAATGAAAGAAAATAAAATCATTCATCACCTTCAGTGATGTGACACTCACTTGATGGCAGGCTTACTCAACACAAAGTAACTTTGCTTACTGCTCTGTGCTGACAGAGCCTCATTGCTGTACCTTTTAACAGAAACCTGGTTACAGGATTTTTCAAGTATTTCTTAGTATTGTCCACTTTTGTTTTGCACTTAGAACATCAAAAGTTCTAAGAAGCACCGAAGAAAAAATCCCAAAAGAACCCTCCCCTCCCAAAAAAAAACCAACCCACAACTTTCAATGTCCCTAATACTAAGGATTTCAAAAGAAACAACGTCATAACTCCCATTCAGCATTTTCTAAAACACAAAATCATTCTAATGATTGACAATAATAACAGAAAACAAATTCCATCCCATTCTGATCACCATCAGAAGATATTATACCCACTGGGTGCCACTGCTAGAAGTGATTTTTTTTAAAGTAGTAAATTAAAAAGAATCAGTAGCAGTTCTTAATTGTAAAGCAAAGCTACAATCCACTTGACTGTCACAAGCAAACACAACAATCCTACCTGTATGTCAGTTACTACTTGTCTCCCACTCCCGGAGTAGGACCTAACACCCAACCAAGTTTAAGAGAGATATACACAGCTGTCCTTATTCACAGATCAGTAAACTAATGCACTTTTACAGCCTAATATAGACAAAGTTTTACACGAGTTACTAGGTAACTGAAGCAAAATATCCCCATCTTCAGTAGCTGCATAATGCATAAGTGCAAACTCCTCCCAGAATGTCAGAATCTCAAGAACACAGACCACTCTGCAATGAAGCACACACAGCGCCTAATAGATACACTTCTCCCATCTGACAAAGTGTAGTATCTTAGCTGAAGTATGCAAAAGCCCAGCAGTTTTGAGATGAACATATTTTAACACACTCATCCTTGCCAAACACTAAATTACCAAGAAAAAAAAACACCTAACAACCCTGCAGTGAAAAATGGGGCACTTACAAAAGGGAAATCAGAAAAACATTGCAGACTTAAATCTGAATTTGCGTCTTCTATTGATAAAGTCAGTATCTTCAGGATACTATAGTGGCATCTACAAGGCATCTCTACGGTATGAGCTGGCAGCAAGTCTTCATCTAACTTCTTAAAATTTATCTCGCTACTGAAGTCTGACAATTAACATCGAACATCCTGGCATGCTCTTAAGTGCCTAAACCTCATTCTCCCTCTAGATAGCAGAAGTTGTGTCTTGGTCCCATTACACAAGTCACCAAATACAATCAATTGGAAAGCAATCAGGCCACTGGATTATCTTACTTTCCTCATTTAAACACTGAGCATTTTCTTACCAAATACCACAAATGTCAAACTGTGTCACTAGCTATGCATAAAGTTAAGGGGAAACCATACATTTTCAGTAAACAGGAAGAAAAGCCTGTTAGGCCAAAAGCAGGTATAGAATATTACTAGTAGCAGGTATAAAAAAAAAAAAAAAATCACGAGCACCCGCTAACAGTTTAAGTGACCACTCATTCTGGCACCACAGTTTACTCAGAATAGACCCTTGAATAGCCTCATCTGTAACTTACAGGAAACATCAACTTACCATTTTGCTCTCCCGAAAAAGTAAAAAAATTGTATTAATTCCTACCCAATAATTGAAAGGAAACGGTCAACTCAGTCCACATAAATCAGTTATCACAGGTGAAGGGTTGTTCCACTGCCCTCTGCACCTACGCTAACAAATCATCACCACAACAGATCTCATTTTATGCTTGTTATTAGGTAACTCTAAAAACCAGGTTTTGTGTGTTTCCAAATACGTCTAAAAGATATCGTGGACACCACTGCTTGGGATCAAGATCCTCACTTAAGATGTTTCTCACACTTAAAATTTATTTTGGTGGTGGCATCCTTTTTCCTAATTGAACGTTCTTCAAATGCTTCTGACCAGGTAGAGCAACAACTGGAAATTAATGTAGGCAAAAATGCCTGGAAGGCTGATGGAAGTGAAGAACCTGCCTTAGACAGCTGCCTCATGGGCTATGACATCTGCGAACTTGCATAAACAACTGAGGTTACAAAGTATATTCAAGGGACCTTCACTGTCAACACAGAAAGATGCGGTTACCAAATCTGAGAATCAAGTGAAATTTGTCTGGATTTTTTAAGTAATGTGGAGGAAAAGAAGAGCACTGTGTGTATGTTTTTAGAGCTGTGTATAGAGAGAAAATTAATATAATAATGACATCATCTCTGACCAAGCAAATACATCACTACTTTTGTAATGGGGGCAAGGGGGAAGGAAGGGGACACAGAGCTAAGATAAACTTCTTGCCCTCCTGCAAGCTACTGAAATATAGCATTAAGCCTTAGTCAGAATGCATTCAAAAATTCTGAGACTAATCTACACTGAATAAAATCAGAGACTTGAGGAATTTAAATTCATTTTGCCAAACAGTGTTAAACAGAAGTTGTTTCATCTAAAAGGAAGAAGAACATAATTGTAATACCACCTCACTATTATTTACCACCTTAAGTTTTCAGGTCTTCACCATGCTCATAGAAGCACAAAACCCACCAATGCTCTTCCTCTGCCTCAAGTTAAGAGGAAAGGAGTCAGTCTCTGGCTCACAATACCTAACACAGACAAATTAACTCAAACAAACATAGCTCATTATTTATGAGCAGAAATCCTCAACAAATTCCCACAATGGGGATGGGGGGAGACCCAGGTTAAATTCATTATACATCACCCACTTACTAACAGAACCTTACAGGCCCTCCAACCGCAAGCTCACCAGTGATGTCAGGTTTGGGATGAAAGCTATCTTGTCATGACACACTAAAACATTCCCAGCATTTTTATTGGATTACACGACAAAAATTGTAAAGTTCAGAACAGAAAATAACGTTACCACTGGGGATCCTTCTTCCTTATCCATTTTAAAAGTGATTGCTTATCCTTTGAAGGTTGGTACTTAGATGAGTCATAAAAATACTATCTGCTATCATAATATGGCACTTTCCAATTTCTGCAAGTACCTATCTACTTCAAATCATTATTCTTTCACAACTTTGACAATCTGTCACCCATGGCCTTTAAGAAACTGTTTTTATAAGTGCATTTCATTTAAATAATTGGCCAGGAGGAGCGAAGGGTGTCAGAGAAGTCTTCCTACAATCCAAGCAGATTATACACACCTTACTGTTTATTAAAGTCTTTCTTCAAGCAGTACACTAATTTTTAAGTTAGAAAGACCACACTGGTTTGTCCAGTTAATTTTAGGGTCATACAGTTCAAAGACATTATATAAAAATTGCTGGTCCAATGATCAGCATTTTATTGGGCAAAGCTGCCCATCTACTGTACCTCAATCTCAACAGTAGAGGACCTGCCAATTTTGCTAGGGCCCACTCTACTCTTTGACTGATAATAAACTGTAAGCTTTAAAAGAATTTTGGCAATTTCTTAGATTCATCAGATTTTCTTCATTATCATCCTACCAGCACAGCTTTATTGTATGAAAACACATTCCTTATTGGAAGAAATTTTGCTTTCATTTAATTGCAGTTAAAAACTTTATCTTCCCCTAATAACGTGATTTTTATCAGGGAGGGGGAAGAGGAGAACAAAACCAGAAACATACCAAACCACTTTTGTTCAACCTGGTTAAAGCTTTTATCTTATGCAAGATCGACCTTCTGCAAGGAACCTATCACACTTTACCATTCAATCACATTGGTTTACATTTTCTATGGCAGTTCCTGCTGTCTCTTAGAATACACGAGCTTTCTGACTTAACAGCCGTACCTAGTCTGCAACACTTGAAGCCTCACCGTGCTTCTCATGATCCTCTTCGTTTATGGTACCAGAACAACTTTTTTAAATGAATTGTGCTTTAACAAGAGAAGTATAAGAGCACAATACATTCCAGATTATTGATGTGTGGCTTTGTACAAAGAACATCATTTATGCACTAAACGACAGAAAATAGCTTACATATTATCCCTGAGGTATTCCACTTACAGAACATTATTCTGTGGTCTAACAAAGACCTCATGTTTCCTTTCTGCCATGTCCTTTTAAGATCAATTGTGTGACAGCAGAACTAAAGACTTCACATGGAGGAGAGGAAAAAAATAAAAAATAAAGGGCTCAGCTCTTGAATCAGAAAGTAAATGGGTAATCTTCTGAAATTCTAATATATACTAAAAATACATCTGTATTTTTGCACTTAATCCTACAGAGTCCAAACATTCAAAACGAAATCCAGTTGCTACAATCAGATGCTGGCAGAAAGGAACTCCAGGCCTACTTTATCAGCATGTCTTTTTTTCCTTCCTTCCACTTGCTTCTTGTAGGACCATCAAAAGATATATAGAACAGTTTCAGGAAACGAGCAGATGAGAGATCACCTAGACAGAAAGCACACTTGAAAAATAAGAACTTGAAGTCTAGCCAGACTGTCCAGATGACTCCAAGGTGGTTTCATAATCCCAGCTATCAATCATCCTCTAAGCATCAAGAGTCCAGACAAATTCTTCCATGCCATTTTCCATGTCACTTTCTTTTTGTTTCTTCTTCGGTTTTTGTTGGGGTTTTTTGGTGGGGTTTTGTTTGG